CGCGACAAAGTTCGTAGTATGATTCCCAGATCTTCTTTGGCAGCTCGAATTGAGGTGTTGGGACTGGGCTCGAAATAAGCCAAGGTATTCACCTCTTCCGTTGCATTATCTACTACATTTTTTGGTCAGTTTAACACGTGATTAATTCGTCCAAAATGCAAAAAATTTCCTTCTATTCCTCTAAATTTACCTTTTGTCATCGGAGATAAATGTGGATAATTTTCATTAAACATTCTGCAAGTTCAACTAAGAACTTTGTCACACTTTTCGTGCACAAAAAATAAATTATGGATTTCTTCATTTGTATAAACATTATTTACGTTATTAATATCCATTTTAACTGGTTTTAGACTCACAAGCATCAAACAACCTAAATTAGACTTTGACGTTTATCAATAAGTCTCGCTGAGACACCCTGTATATGTTGCTAGATTCATGTACATAATAACAATACTATTAAAAACCGAGGCAGCAATGCTGCCGAGGCAGTTGCTGAATTATTTCTAACTATTATAGTTTCCAAGTTAGCCTGTTCGGACATCGAATTTGAACCACCCTGTACATCAATGGATTCAGAAAAACAAACTCTATCCAACGACGCGAAGAAAAATATACGCAGCCATTTGAAAAACAAAAGTTAATAATCGCTTGAAATTGAAGATGGTATTCATCAAACCATTTCATTTCATACCTCGCTCATGAAAATCGGAATGTAAATGGCAGATTTAAATCTTGGGGAATTTTTTATCTGACACTCTATATATGTTGATAAATTAATGTATAAAATATTAACAATATTATTAAAAACCGAGGCAGCAAAGCTGTCGAGGCATTAGCTGAATTATTTATATATGTTGTATCTACATATATCCAAAGTTCCTTCTTTTTGAGGTTTTACTATTTAAAAAAAAAGCCTTTCTTCAGAACGTTTCTGAACTAAATAGGCGGGGTTATCTCTTAGTTTAAAAAAGATAACCTAAAATTGCTAAAAAAGTGATCCGCTATCTTGAAAAATTGCGTCGAAATGATTTAAAAGATTTTTTTGATTTAGAATAATAATGAAAAATTAGTGAATGGAAGATAATAAATAGAATTATAATAATGTCTAAAATTATATCGGAAACCATAAAAAGATGTTGTAAGAATTAAGAATTATTTTAATTTATGCGTTTTCGGCATAATAAACAACCTTGGATCTGTGGTCTATCGTTGTTCATGGATCTCTTAGACACCTGTATATGTGAGTACCTATATTAATATATATAAATAATATTAACAATATTATTAAAAATCGGGACCAAGATAAATTCGATAATATTCTTCCAAAAAAATTCTTGGTCAAAATTGAAATATACAGGTGTTCCAAAATTGAGATACATGACTTATGATACCCTAACTTGATATTTTTAAACAGGCTTTCAGTACTTTTCATCCATCATACCCTATGTCGATATTCAGCGATTCTCGACAAAATGAGCACATACATAAACATTTTAACTACAGTCTTGACAACTTAGCTGTCTTGGCTTAACTACCACATTCGTATTAAAAATGTTGCGATGATTCTATACAAAACAAAGTGTTTTTTTATTGCCTCGGCAGCTTTGCGGTCTCAGCTTTTACTAATAATTATTAGTATACACAAATGCACATTTCACTGCTTCAGCTTAAATATTACATTCGTATAAAAAAAGCTGCGATGATTCTTTAGTGAATTTTAAGGATATTTTGATATATGAACGAAATGGTCGACTTCGGCTCCCCTAAGGAGCTACACCCCTCCAAAAATGGCGAAAATTTTTTTTCTCAAAAACCATAAACGCTAGGAAAATGAAATTTGGGGAATATATTTAACTCATACTAGCTTTCAACCTACTCATCTAAACTACTAAACGTAACCACTCCCTTTACATTTTTGCTAACATTTTTCTTATGCAGATGATTAGAAAAATTTTACATAGGTAGATGAAAGTATCCTAAAACTTGTATGTCTCTCTGAAATTTTGCCAAAAAACGACAAATTTCGGCCACCACGATCTCCTGATCTAACACCACTCGATTTTTTTTTTGGGGAGTTCTGAAAAGTAGAGTGTATGCAACAAAACCAGAATCAATCAATGATTTGGAAAATCGCATACTTGAAGAACCACCAATATCACTTGGGATATGCTCCTTATGATAAAAATAGGAAAAAGTCTAGATATCTAGATAAGTTAATTTCCAATTGTATAAAAAAAATTTTTTTTATAAATATTTTATGTTTTAAGAAATAAAACCAAAACTCATTCCTTTTTCCAACATATTTAAAATTTTTCCATCAATTTGTAATTATTTCAAGTACTGAAGATGAAACATTTGTTTCGAAACTTTTTGAAATAAATTAAGTATTTTTAATATTTCTCACAAAAAGTTTTTCCTTTTTCCTATTTTTATTATTTAATTTTTGAGAAATATGGAGAATTTCATTCCTTTTAAGCTCCTGATGGTTCAAAATTCCATCTATGAGCCTTTAGGTTATTGCGAGACCGAAAAAGGTTGACAATTTGAACATTTATTATAAAAATCGTAATAAGAGCGCAAAAAAAGCATGAAAACATTTTATTTTTCCATTTGGTAGTCAATCCCTCATAATTCTTGAAAGAATTAACATATCCGGTTTTGGTTTATAGGGTTGTGTTTCTTTTTTCATTACTTTTAAAATAAGGCAAAACTGTACAGGGATTGCTATTTAAAAATGTAGGGGTGGTCATCCCCTAAAAAAACTCCATATTGCATGGAAGTTCTAAACTATCTAAGAATGTAGCTTTTATGACTTTTTAGTGATTCCCAAATTTTCAAATGTTGTTCATCACTAGCATGGCTGCCTCGGTTTTTAATAATATAGTTAATGTTATATTTATCAATGTATATATAAACAATTGAGCTCCTGCCTCGGCAGCTCTGCTGCCTCGGTTTTTAACAATATTGTTAATGTTATATTTATTAATGTATCAACATATATAAACAATTGAGCTCCTGCTTCGGCAGCGTTGCTGCCTCAGTTTTCAATAATATTGTTA